GGACCACAGTGTGCTTCCTGCTAGATAGAGAAAAAAACAGCTCTGACGTCACAATAAGAAATGATTAGCCAAGGGGCAAGAGAGATGGCTCAGAGGTTAAGAGCACTGACTGTTCTTCCAAAGGTCCTAAGTTCAATTCCTAGCAACCATATGGTGGCTCACAACCATCTGTAATGGGGTCTGGTGCCCTCTTCTGGCCTGCAGACATACATGGAAGGAATGCTGTATACATAATAAATAAATAAATATTAAAAAAAAAAAGAAAAGAAATGATTAGCCAGGCAGAGTTTACAGAGCGAGTTCTACAACAGGCTCCAAAGATACAGAGAAATCCTGTTTGGAAAAACAAAAAAGAAATAGTTAGGCTGGGCAGTGGTGGTGCACACCTTTAATCCTAGCATTTGCTAGGCAGAGGCAGGCAGATCTCTGAATTCGAGATCAGCCTGGTCTATGGAGTGAATTACCAGGACAGCCAGGGCTACACAGAGAAACCCTGTCTCAAAGACAACAAACAAACAAAACAAAACAAAGCAAAAAGAATGAACTGTAAATTCAAGTAGATTCCCTGGGCCTCTGAGGGAAAGCAGCCTGTGTCAGCTAAAGGTCTGCTTCAGGAAGAAGTCACTGGTCTGATGAGAAGGTTTGTTCCTTTGAGATGGCTTCTGTAGGCTCCTATAGGTGGGGTCTCTGGTCTGTGACCTGCTCTACTCAGCTTTTGTGTGGGCTGAGATGCTGACCTAGAGCCCAGTGCTCTCATGAGTACTAAGGGAGTCCTGGGAAACAGTCTCCTGGTGCTGACCTAGAGTCCACCCTGAGGAATAGGAGATTGCTCTCAAGTTCAAACCATACCCTGTTCTACCTAACTAAATTGTAGGCCTGGTTTTGGTTATGTCCTGTGACAACTCCCAGCAGCAGGACACCAAACCCTCAAACCAGAGGCCAGAGAGATGGCTCAGAGGCTGAGAGCACTGGCTGCTCTTGCACTCACATGGCAGCTCAAAATTGTCTAATTCCAGAACCAGGAGATCTGACCCACTTCTTCTGATCCCTGTGGGCACCAGGCACACACATACATACATGCAGGCAAAACATTCACATATAGAAAATAAGTAAATCTAAAAATAATACTTAAAAATCTTAAGCCAGATTCTAGGCCTGGGCACAGTTTAGTGGGACAACCTAACCAAACCTAATGCAGCAGGCTGCAGTCAGACCTCCACCTCCAACAACCAGAACCAAACCGAGCAGAGGATTCTCAAACCTCAGTGGGCAAACACTGCCAGACAAGCAGATTTCTGGCCCAAATCCCTGTTCCAAGTGTTTTGCCCCCCACTAGAGTACCATCATCACATAGGTCCTGCCCAGTGACTAGGTAGCTGCCCACTTAGCAGACCACAACACTGGGAACACCAAGGCCACTCCCTGCTCCCCATGGTCAAGCTACCCTCACTGGCTGTATACTATATTTTACCAATAAAGTGAAATAAAAAAGTTAAGTCATGTGAAGTTATGTGGTTGATGGTGCCACAGATATGAGAGGCTTTGTTGGTTCCACCTAAGGTCTTGGCACAGTCCCAGAGGACCATGTATTCTAGAGGAAAGGTGTGCTGAGGAGCCTACAGGAAGGAGCAAGGCAGGAGGTAGCTGTCTCTCAGGTCTGAGGCTTGTGAGCCTGACATATACACCCTGGAATGGAACCTGACCCCAGGCCCCCATGCCTTCCAGACCCTGCATGTTGGCAGTGTGTGGGCTTTCACAGTATACTTTCCTGAATGCCAGGACAAGAAGTGTCATGCTCCATAGTGGTGCTCCCCCATTCTCCATCCTGCCCACTGGCTAGGCAGGGACTCACCCTGTGATTCCCCAGCACATAGAAGATGTGACCCAGCAGCACGAGGGAGCAGGCCGTGAGGCGGTTCAGGTCCTCTGCATTCGACATCTTTAGAGTTTCTCGCAGAAATCGCCTGCACAAGGGAAACAGATGCTGACACCTGCAGGCACATCACACAGAAGCAGAGGTGGCCTGAGGAAGGAGAGGCTGTCATACATGGTGCCCCAACCCAAACTCACTTGGCTTCATTGTAGCGGCCCTGGAAGAAGGAGAAGAGCCCACGTACATAGAAAGCTGCCGCTCGGAGGCAGTGTGAGCTGCAGGGAAGCAGAGAGTCACAGATATAGGAGAAAGGTTTTCCAAAGGGAGCCTCTGCAGACTGTCTGGGGGTGTGGGATGTCTGTGCTAGGCACAGACTACTCACCTGACTGGGAAGCTGTGGTCTGGATTTATCCTCTCCAGCAAACTGTACAGCTGGTGGAGAAACGTTAGTTAGTCAGGACTGAGCTCTACTCAGAGGCCAGGTCCTGAACATGCTATAGGGGGATAGGGCTTCCTCCACTCCAGTGGAAAAATATCACAGTATGCAGCATGCCTGTCCAGAACAGCCTCGAGATGGGGGGTGTCCATCTGAGGGAATCATGAAGGAGAGTGAAGGTGGAACAGCATCCCTCTGATGTCCTGCCTCAGCTTCCTGACAGTCAGGGTGGCAGAGGCCCATCCATATAAGACCTTCTTCCCCTTGATTTGTGGGGAGGCCATGGTTCTGTGACAGCATGTTTGGCAGCATGCATGCAAGATGCCCTGGGTTGGACCCCAGCACCACAAATAAGAAAAAAAAAAAAAAGGCACAACATGGGGTCAATAAACCTTACGTGGCTTAGGATGGCAGAGGCCACATAGCTGCAGGAGTGTAGCCCCAGTCCCAACCCCTCAAAAGCCGCACCCTCATAAAAATTAAACATTTGGGCTTTTCTTTCTTTCTTTCTTCCTTCCTTCCTTCCTTCCTTCCTTCCTTTCTTTCTTTCTTTTTCTCTCTTTTTTTTTTTGGGGGGGGTGGTTTTTCGAACCAGGGTTTCTTCTCTGTGTAGCTTTGGAGCCTGTCCTGGCCCTCACTCTGTAGACCAGGTTGGCCTCGAACTCACAGAGATCCATCTGCCTCCTAAGTGCTGGGATTAAAGGCGTGCACTACCACTGCCCGGCATACATTTGGGCTTTGCTAAGGTCTGTGGGTGCCCAGGACACCCATAGCTCCTGGGCAAGAGATGGAGAAAGGATACCAAACATGAAGCATGTCACCTACTACCTCTTGGTGTCTATTTCCTTCCCGTATATACACACTCGCAAGGTTGGTCACAATGAAGGCCCATAGCTCCTGGTGGTTGGTGAGCTGGAATGGAAGACAGAGCATTTAGGGGGCCAGTCTGGCTATTGTCACCTTGCTGCGGCCTGACTGAACACAGCTATTCAAGGGCTCCTTTCCAATTCACCCAGCTCACTCCAAACCCAACTACAAAGTGGAGCTCTTTCTCCACCAGCCACATCAGGGGTCATTTAGAAAGCGAACATGAAAGCTAGCTATCCTGGTCATGTCAATGACCAACAGTGGATAATGGTAAAACATGGCCTCAACAAACAGCCCAGACGGGCCTGGGATTCTCTATCCTGCCTCGGTGTCTTGAGTGCTGGGATGAGAGGCCTGTAACCACCCTGGCTTGTTTTTTTCTTTGCAAGCCAACAGATGCATACCTCTAAGCCTTGAAGCACGTTAGGTGTGTTCTCCGCCATTGAACCACAGGCTGTGGGACATTTAGTTGGCCAAAAGGGGTATACTGCTAGGTGTGGTGGTAGAGTCCGGTCACCCCAGCATTTGGGTAGCTGAGGCAAGATCAGAAAATCTTTTTCTTTTGTTTTTTTCAAGACACATTTTCTCTATGTAACAGATCTGGGACTTGCTCTGTAGACCAGGCTGGCCTCAAACTCAAATTCACATGACTCTGCCTCCTGAGTGCTGGGATTAAAGGTGTGCGCCACCACACGCAGCCAAGAAAGATCAGAATTTAAGGGCAGCTTGTGCAACTGAGATACCCTTTTTTTAAGATTTATTTTATTTTATTTTTTTTTAAGATTTATTTATTTATTATGTATATAGTGTTCTGTCTGTATGCTTGCAGGTCAGAAGAGGGCACCAGATCTCATTACAGATGGCTGTGAGCCACCATGTGGTTGCTGGGAATTGAACTCAGGACCTTTGGAAGAGCCATCAGTGCTCTTAACCTCTGAGCCATCTCTCCAGCCCTCTGAGATATCCTCTTAAAAACTATGAGCAGGGGCTGCAGTTCAGCAGTCTAGCACTTGCCTGGGATGTGTGAAATCCTGGGTTTGATCTCCAGTATGGGACTGAAGGGAGAAAGAATATGGAATTCTAAGCAGTCCAGATTCCCGTAGTGAGCACGTCCAGTGATGTACAGGACCTTCAGCACACCGGGCACACAAAAACCCAGAGTACCCTTCCCTGGACTGAGCTGCAGCAAGCAGTACTGGGCTGTCAGTTGTGGGCAATAGGAAGAGCCTCAGTTTGAGGGTGAGGTCCATGTCTGCCTTAGCTCATTCCCTCCCATGGATTCTCCAAAAGGCCTTAGCATATGACTTCAGCGTTGTGTTGCTAGGCCAAAGCCATACGGAGAAATAAGACAACCACTAAGAATGTGAGGCTCTTGGCATTGAAGAAGGACCTTGATAGTACAGCAGAAGGACCTGAGGCTAGAACCAGTGGAGGTGGCAGCCAGGTGGCTCTTCACATAACACCCACATACATGTAGCCCACCAAGGAAAGGAACCCCCATCCCAGTCAGAGAGATGCCCCAGTCAGCCACATTGCTCATAGAACAGAACCCTGCTCATTAAAATCTCTACTGGGGGTTCCCTGGGGGAATGGGTCAGTAGCCCCCCATTTCCTGCAAGGACATTGATGCCAAGATAAGGGACATTCTTCCCTGGTCCTGGGTCAGGTGGGCAGAACTGGGAAGTAAGCTGACCCAAGAGGCATATGGGCTGCTCTAGGAGAAATGTAGGTCAGCAGCCTAAGGGTATAGGTGCCTTGTGTGGGAGCCCCATTCCCTGAAGTAAAACCCATCCCTGAGCACCTATTGAGGAACTTAGGTAGGATAAAGGCACATCCAAGGCACTGGTCATGCATACAATGTGACTTCAGGAGGACCATAAACCGACACAGCCTGAGGGTGTTCTGGCACTTACCAGGTGTCAAAGTGGCCACCCAGTGTTCCTATGGCCCTGATACATATGTCCGTCCCTCCTATCTGTCCAGGGTATCCAAGAACCTTCACCCCATCAGCTTCCATATCAACAAGAACCATGTCACTGTTGTGGTCAGTGTCAGGCCGACTACAGAGAATGTAGGATCAAAGCCTACGGCTCTAGCAGCAGACCTAAGTAGTTTCCATCCTCACTGAGGTGTACCCAATTTGACATATTGCTGCTCCAGGAGTCAGCCTTACCCGCAGGGCTGTGGTGAATTGGGCTTCAGCATTGTCCATGCAGTTCACAGAGACACAGTACAGGCCCTGCAAGGACAGGGATAGATGTAGGGCAGCTTTAAGAGTGACCCTGGACAAGTACAGTATTTACCTGGGCCTCTGGAATGAGCTTCATACTATTGTAAAGGACGCCCCTCCCCTTGACAGAATGAAGCTCACTGGGAACATCTGGATTCTAACTGAACAGTGTCACAGGGGAATTTACTGGGACATCGGAGTCTTTCAGGGTGGGTCACCCACATTCTTTGTTAGGTATGTTATGGGCTCGGGATTCTGGCAAGAGTAGGGCCCAGCACCCAGGGCACACTTACCAGCAGTGTGTGTAACTGGGCAGCATGGTTGGAGAAGAGCCGGGGGGACTGTTGGCACAGCTGGCAGACCTGGGAAATCTGAGGAGAGAATGGAGGTCACTGCCTACCCTGGGCCTAGGATAGACTCAAGGCTGGAAGACATGCTTGCCAAACTAGGGTCAAAGTCCTAGAAGGAGAAGTTGTCACAGGGAGGAAGGTGACCCTGATCTCCTTTCTCCTTGCCCAGCTTCAACTGAGTACTTTGGCTATAAAGTGACTTTCCAATGTTCTCAGAAAGGTGGGCACCCCAGTCACATCACAATGTTGCCTGAGCATGCAAGTTTAGGGAGCCAGGCCACTGGCTTTACATTAGATTATACAGTTCACTCTGCTAAAGCAGTGACAGTGAGGTCACTGCACCCTCCCCTCTTGACACACAGGCCCCTACCCATGTCAGCTCCCACCATCCTGTTCTGTGCTCACTACCTCCTGTAGTGCAGTGGCCTTGTGGCCTGTGACGAGCCGGCACATGATGATATGCTCTAGCAGGATCACTTGGAAGGATGACAGGATGGGGCTGCAGTCCAGCACTGGGGACAGGAGGCAAGGATGAGCATGTAGGCATGGCCCCACAGGGCCCTTCCCAACTAGATAAAGCCACTGTGAAGTGTCCCAAGGCTGAGAAATCCCCACTGGGTGGTACTCAGGTACAGCAGGGACTTAGCAAGTACAGGTCCTGGCCTGGACCACAGGACACTCTAGGCTGAGGACTATGCCACACACAGGTCAGCTCTACAGAGGCCGGCACAGCTGCTACCCCAGTTAAGAGCTCAGGAACCTGCTGAGAGGATTCTTCAAGATGTCTTGAACCAGATTCTGCCTGGGCCAGAATCCAACCTATGAGGAACCTAGGCAGCTCTTCACAGCTCTGCACAGCTCTCCTTGGGAGGAAGAGGAGCCTAGTCCTTGCCAGATCTAGCTTAAGGGAAAGAGAAGTAGTTCCACAGGCTCTGGTGTTCCCAGCTCACTTCTCCCTTCAGTAGTGCTGAGGAAGGCACAGGATCAAAGTGGTTTAGAGCAATACTAAGACCATGTGCAACCTGAGATGCATAAAGTAAAGCGTGTGCACAAAACCCCCTGACTCTGGAGGCTTCAGAGCAAGTAGGTAAGGGTTACCCTGGCCTCCCTGGGCATGGACATGGGATTGTGTGGGGTCCCCACCCAGGTGGCACTTACTCTTGAGCTTTTCTAATTGCATGAGTGCCTTGTCTGTGTATTTCTGAGCCTTTTCCAGGTAGCCAGCCTGCATCGAATGCATCACTGTGACCTGCAAGGAAAGCGATCAGTGGTCATAGGGCCCTCTCCCAGCCCAGACCCAGGGTGGTGGGACTCACCAGGTAGACGAGCACGCACATGTGCTCCTTGGGCAGCCAGTGGAAGAGGTCAGCAGGGTTGCTGGGCAGGATCTCATCGTCATGTAGCGTGGAGATGGTCTGGATGCACTGCTGCAGCTGTTTCAGGCATGGCTTGACACTCTTCACCTGCGGCACGCATGCTTCAGCAATACATCCCTGGAGGCCTAGCAATCTTGTCCAGCTCCTGCATGGGTCCTCCCTGTCCATGAGTCTACCTTACCAGGTCCAGGCTACTCTTTGGCAGGGAGCACAGATCCTGGCTGGGTTACACTTGGCTTCTCACAGATAGAAGCCTTGTGGGCATTGCAGCTTCTACCAACCCTCCTGTCTGCCATCCTGAGCCTCTCAGGATAGCTGTGGCTCTCAGCAGTCAAAACTAACCCATATCTGCCATGTTTTCCATGCTGTATGAAAAGCTGTGCCCAACAGAAACACAGGAAAGCCCTTACTAACAATAAGCTCACTGAGCCCTCCCTGGTCCCCACAACACTGGCCCAGTACCAAAGATGGGGTGCAGTCAGTGGAACCGTAGGAATAGGCAAGGGCCAAGACAGGCAAGGTGGCTTCCATACATCATAGGCTGATGCCATCACAGACACAGGTGTCAGGTCTTCAATGCAGCCATTAAGCTACACCAAGGTTCCTACTAACCCTCACAATGCTGCTGTAAGCTGAGAAAGGGGAGCCTGCTACATGACTCCCCTAGAGACCCCCCCCAACCATGTGTGCACTCAATGGATGTGGGGGTCACACATTCTTACTCAAATGAGAACAGAACCACTAAAATAAACTCTGTCATCCGAGTACCCTCTATCTTTAGGTGGTTGAACTGTACCTGTGCTAGAGAATCTATGTAAGTGCACTCACCAACATGCAACAATGAGACCACATCAAAAGTAATCCCTCCCCCTATCTGAGAGACAACACACCTGCCCAGCATCCAGGTAGTGGGTCACCTGCAGCACCAGGAAGAAGACACGCAGGGACTCCTTCTGGATGGGGTTGCCCTGCCAGTTCTCCACGATTTGCCCGCACAGTGTGAGCAATGGGTGCACCTCTTGCAGTTTGCGCTCCATCAGCAGCAACTGGAAGGGATGGTGAGTGGGGTATCACTGTCACCAGTCCAACAGCTTAGGAACCTCCCCCCAGATGGCAGAGCTGGGAGCAATGATGTCAGGAATGGCAACGCTTGCCTTTAATCCCAGCACTTGGGAGACAGAGGCAGGCAGATATCTGTGAGTGTGAGGCCAGCAGCCTGGTCTACTTAGAGAATTCTAGGACAGCCAGGGATACATAGAGACCTTGTCTCAAATAAACAAAGCTAGATACAACAAAGGAACTGTACAGGTGGCTCCACAGCAGGCTTCCTCAATAGCACACCTACTACCTGAAGCCATACAGCTGCACCCACCAGTCTTGACTTACCATCCCCTTGCTGAGCAGGAATAGTGCCCTGGAAAAGAGACAAGACATCAGGTTTGAAGGACACCAGGAAGTCTGGGGATCAAAAAGGCTGCCCCTCAGAGAGGTGTACTTAATAATATAACCCTTTAGTGTGCTGCATTTTGTTCTCATTTATATTTATGGTATTTTAGGGAGGGCATGAGGCTATTCTCATGTAAGCCAGGTTGGCCTCAAACTTGATATGCAGCTGAGGATGACCATGAATATTTTTTCTGGGGGTTGGCATGCTGGGAATTGAACTTAAGGTCTTACACTGTCACCATACTCCCAATTTAACTTTGAACTTAAAAAAAAAAAAAAAATCAACTGAGCATGGTGGAGCACACCTTTGATCCCAGCACTTAAGAGGCAGAGATAGGTAGATAGATCTTTGTTAAGTTCAAGTCCGTACTGGTCTAGATATAGAATTCCAAGACAGTCGGAGCTACATAAGAGAAACTTTGTCTCGGGCTGGAGAGATGGCTCAGTGGTTAAGAGCATTGCCTGCTCTTCCAAAGGTCCTGAGTTCAATTCCCGGCAACCACATGGTGGCTCACAACCATCTGTAATGAGGTCTGGTGCCCTCTTCTGGCCTGCAGACATACACACAGACAGAATATTGTATACATAATAAATAAATAAATAAATATTTAAAAAAAAGAGAGAAAAACTTTGTCTCAAAAAACAAAGAATACACACACACACACAATTTACTTTTGTTATGTCTATGTGTGAGTGCCTACATGTGCAAATGCATCCAAAGAGGCCACAGGGGCATGTTAGATAAGATAACTAGGAACTGGAGTTACAGGAAACAGTGACTCTCCTAATGTAGGTGCTGAGGAGTAAATCTGGGTTTGGAATGCTCTTAAACAATGATCCACCCCTCTACTTTCTCAGTCTTCAACTTGGGATCTTTCTTCTTTGGATCCTCCACCTTCAGCACCTATTATTTTACATGATGCAGACATACCTGTGAGCATTACAAAAGGTCAGAGGGCCAAGTTCTGGGCAGAGTAGAAGATGACACCCTCAAATCACCTTAATGCTCAACATAGTAGATATGGGCGTGGCACTGGCTTGGGCTGTCACTACCTCACCTGTGAACTGGGCTGTGCTCTCCCCACCCAGGTCCCTCTCTGGATTAAGGGCATAAACTCATTATAACACTGGAAAGGCCAATGTTCTCCCCTCGCCTCCTCCACAGGTCATAGGGTTCCTAAGACCTGTCCTAGCCCCCACTCCTTGGACTTGCCCAAGTAAATCTACATACATGGTGAAACTGAGGACAGGAACTCCCACAACAGGGCAGGTTGGTCTCTCATACCAATGCTAGCCCACTTTACTATGCCTCACTCTTCAACAAGTGCAGCATGCAGAATCACAGCTGGCTGTTAAGGAGACCCTATACAATAAAGCCTAGACAAATCCTACCAGAACTCCCCATTTCAAGAGATTTGGAAACTACATGTACAAGTGCAAATCTGGGGGCTGGAGAGATGGCTCAGAGGTTAAGAGCACTGTCTGCTCTTCCAGAGGTCCTGAGTTCAATTTCCAGCGACCACATGGTGGCTCACAACCATCTGTACTGAGATCTGGCGCCCTCCTCTGGTGTGCGGGCATACATCGAGGCAGAATGTTGTATACATAATAAATAAATCTTAAAAAAAAAAAAAAAACAAGTGCAAATCTGTCATCCCAAAGAGAGGCTGAGGCAGGAGGATTAAAGCAAGTAGCTGGGGTTCATCCTGGAATACAGTAGTGACAGTCAGCCTGATTCAAAAATATCAGAGAGAAACTGCCAGTACCAGCTCTACTAATGAGATACCAGCCCTGCCTTCCCTGCTAGCAATTCATGTTTCATGAGTTGATAGGCTACTTGCTAAGACTGATTATATGGTTCACAACACCAGAGACCACCTTCACACACCAAGATGCCATGTTTAGGGTCAGTAGCAGGACAGCCGAGCAGGAGGAAAAGGATGGGCTCAGCCTACCTTGTATATTCAGATCCCACCACTCGGGCATACTCAGCCCCCACGCCCAGGAGGTCACAGGCTGATACCAGGTCCTTCTCCAGTGTGTGCAGTTGCTAAAGAGGAGAAAAAGCAATGACCATGGCTGTCAATGCCCGTCCTCAGAACTTGCCCCGGTTTGGCTGAGCCTCCTACATCGGCAGTCACTTCAGTGCGGGTTTGGAGTTCAAGCACCAAGACAGCCATCAGTGATAACTGCTGGGGAAACAGCTGGGCAAACACGACTCATGCTGTCACTTCAGACTGCACAGAACCAGCAGACCCAGTGCATACCAGGTGGGTTACTAGGAAGGGCTCCTTCAGGAGCAGGGGAATAAGGATGCTTCAAATCGGAAGCCTGAACAACTGAAAGAGAGACAAACACAGCTAATCCCTGGAAAGGCACATGTATGCCCTTGGTATAGAGCGCAGCTCCCTTGCACACAGTATCATGTACCTGCCCAGCCCACTTCCTCAGCTGCTGGCAACAGCACATGGGAGGCTGCAAAGAGACAATGTGAGCATGGGAACCTAAAGGGACCTCTTGGGGAAAGGTTCTCAAGTCCAGTATCTTTGGTATGTGGGGGATAGGGCTGTATCACAGGAGACAGGAGACACGACAGATGGCTAGGTCAAGGGCAGACAACACCAGCAAGGGGTCATCAAGGTGCCCCAGAGATAGAGGTGTAGACAGGATGAGGGAAGAAAAGGTGACTGGCAGAGTGGAACAACCTGCCCCCATATGGCAGCCAGGAGGCACCCAAGGGGAGCCTGTGTGACTGGCCTTGAGTTCATGCCCTAAGGTCTCATTCGCTCCTGTACTCACAGCGAGCTGGAAGAGGAGGCGGCAGTGCCAGTATGGCGTCTGCTGTGAGATCTGGATGGCTTTCCGGAGCAATGGCTTCGCTGCATCCACCGAGTTCTGAAAGGAAATGGTTTCAAGTTCAAGGAGGACAAGCTGGCAGTCGCATGCATGGGACCCTGATGCAGCCGCTGCCACTTGATGGGATGAGGTGGGAATACAAGTACAGTGTACTTGCCACTTGGGGAAAGTCTACATGCTTCTGAAATCACATCTTGATAGGTGTGATGGTTTACACCTGTTTTATCAATGCTTGGGAATCTGAAGCAGGACTTCCCGTGAGAGCAAGGCCAGCCTAAGCTACAGTGTGACACTGTGTCAAAAAAAATATTTAGACTATAAAAGATAAGCATGGTGGATCATGCCTTTAATCTCAGTATTAGGGAGGGAGATCTCTATGAGTTCAAAACCAGCCTGGTCTACATAGTAAGTTCCAGGACAGCCAGAGCTATGTAGAGAGATCCTGTCCCCAAAAGAAAATAACAATATAAAAACAAACAAACCTCAAAAAAAAAAAAAAAACCAAACAAAAAGTTTAGAATATAATATAAAATATAATAGCTTCTCATTCAGACATGTATGGTAGGCACCTTAGGTTGGGATCTCAGTACTAAGGAAGCTAATGCAGGAAGTATGGATCTGAAGCCAGTTCAGGTTACACAGCAAATTCTAGGCCAGCTAGGGGTAGGTACATAGTGAGACTGCGTCTCAAAAACAACTTACACATATACACACATAGACACACACACACACATCTAGTATTGGGCCTGGTGGTACACACCTTTAATACTAGCACTTGGAAGGCAGGCAGGTGAATCATTATGAGTTTGAGGCCAGCCTGCTCTACACAGCCACATCTATGCCAGCCAAGGCTACATATTAGGGCCCTGTCTCAAAACACCCCCACAAAAAAATCCAACAACAGAAACACCAAACCCAAAATGAAACCCAAAACCACACACACAACTACTTGGGAAAAGCAGAGAGATGGCTCTGGCTTGGGTTCAGTTCCCAGCACTCACACGGCAGCTCACAACCATTTGTCAGTCCAGTTCCAAGGGATCTCATATCCTCTTCTAAACTCTGGACAACCGGCAAGGATGTGGTACACTCACATACACGAAGTATTTATACCCATAAAATAAAAATAAATAACAAAATCTGAAGGGTGGGGGTGCAGTTTGGTGTTAGAAGGTATCTATTTAGCAGGCTTAAGGCCCTGGTATCCCCTGGACCACAAAAAAAGATACAAGGAGAAGTTGCACCTTTAAGAATACTGGACAAGGGTGTTGAGTCATTTCTATTGCAGTAGGCAGTATACACTGGGAGGGGAAGAGGCACAGGACCAGAGCTCAGTGGCAGTGTCTTTCTAGTACAGGTGAGACACTCACTGGTTTCTGTCCCTAGCCCTGAATTAGTAAACACAGGAATAAAAGTATGAGCAAGCCACACACAAGCTGCAGCACTCCACAGAAGGGCTCTGAGCACCTTGTGGTTCTGGTGTTTGCAACAATCATGGGATGAGTTCCCAGGGTCTCTGAGGGCTGAACACAATGTGAACTTCTACCCAACTGGAAACCACAATCTCCCACCCAGAAGACAGGGAGACTGCTTTCAGAACCAGTTAACATGTTCTCACCTCTTGACAATACAGCTCTGACAACAGGCTTGCTGCCTCAAATTTAACATCTTCAAACTGTGGGATCTGGAGAAGGCCAGCTAAGGAAGTACAATGCAAAGACATCTCTTTGTTTATCTTGTTTTTGTTTTAGAAGACAGGGTTTCTCTGTGTAGGCCTGGCTGTCCTGGAACTCACTGTGTAGACCAGGCTGGCCTTGAACTCACAGAGATCCACTTGCCTCTGCATCCCTAGTCCTGGAATTAAAGGCGTGCATCACTATAGCCTGGTGCAAAGTTCTCTTTAAAAAGGGCCAAAGTGCCAATGAGTCCTCCTCCTCCACGTTATAGGGCAAGCAGAGGAGCCACGTTGGGGCAGAATGAAGACCTTGCAACCCAGAGTGGTGGCTAGCTTCCAGGGTAGAGAGGGCACATGGTACGCCAGGGAAGGGAGGGATTTCTAGTTTTTACCACTGGCTTTTCATTCAAGCAGAACATCCCCTCAAGAGCACAGTACAGGGCCTTGCTCAATGGCAGAACACTTGTTTAGCAAGCCCCAGGCCATTGGTTCCACCCCTAGCAGGGCACACCCCCAACACACACAAACAAGAAAAGGATACTTGCTGTGATATCAACCACTGAAAGAGAAAGAAAAAGGATTAATTAATTTTGAGGCAAATGCTTGGTGCCTGGCTATGTGGTTCATGCTGGGGCTGGCAATCATCCCCAAGAAGTGTGGGGAAGTGGTGCTGTGCTTCTTCCCCTATAATCTGATCATGGGAATGGAAGCTGCAGGACACTTGGTAGATGCCTAACAAAGAGGGGATTTATCCTTCTAACATCAGACAAGAAGCTAATGCTCCCACATACTCCAGGGAGGGGATCCCAGGGAGATCTTGGCCACATTCCACACGTCAGCAGGGATGATTGTCTGGCAGAAAGCTTGGACATTCAGCAAAGCTTTGCTCAAGAGTGAGTTACAATAGGGGAGGGGGTTGGTGTATGGGGACAAGTTCCTCCTGAGGAAGCAGCATATTAAATAGGCTTGAAGAGGGCAGAGCTAGCCTCAGAAGGGAGTACCAGTGTGGACAGCAGCTGGTCAACCTGAGAAGGTACACTGAAACATCTTCAAAACAAAACAAAACAAACAACAAAAAACCCTGGTTACTATTGTTACTGTTCTCGCAGAGGACTCATCATGTTGGCTCACAACCACCCATAATCCCAGCTTCTCAACACGTTTAGTCTCCACAGGCACCTACATTCAGGTGTGTACACAGAGACAAAAGAACACACATAAAAATAACTAGCTGGGTATAGTGGTACACACCTTTAATCTCAACACAAGAAGCAGAGACAGGTGGATCTTTATGAGTTTGAGGCCAGACTGGTCTAGACAGCTAGCCAAAGCTAAACAGTGAAACCCTGTTTACAAACAAATAAGTAAATAAATAAAAGTATTCGGAGGGCCAGTTTTGACTTAGGGAACCACTGTGTCTCAAGCTACATGTTGCAACAGGTTCCTAGCTAGTGTGCCATGCAGTGTACAGTCATTTGGATCTTCAGGGACTTCCTAAGAACACATCTAACACTGAACTGCCAACCTAGGGTCCAAAAAAACAGTTACCAAATAACTAACATTTGAGAGGAGCCTGACAGGTATGGATAGGTGGACTGGGCCCTTGAACATCCACTGTCTCAAAAGGCCATACATGATGGGGCACTTGATGCTGGGCTTTGAAGGCTGGAGTAGGATGTGAGCACAGGACTCTGCAGGAAAGGGGAAGTAAGATGCCCCAGAAAAGCTAGTAAGAAAGGAACCAAGACCTGGACTAGCTGGGGTGGCAAGGCTGGCTGTTTAGCGCCACACATGCAGCAGTGGCTGGGAGTCCACCCTTGGGTGTGAAGTCTAACCCATTAGGGAGGAAGTACCTGCCCAAATTATTTTAATAAAAGCTTACTTATTTATATGATTTCTTTACATGTATGCGTGTGTGTGTATTCAATAGCCCATGAATGTAAAGGTCAGTTCTTTTCAGTCATGCTTTTCCCCTTTCTCCCTTATTCCCTTGAGACAGAAGGGAGGTAGGCGCTAGCAGCCAGCAAGCCCTAGGCCCCTCAGCAGCCACAGCATTGGGGTTCCCAGTGGGGTTATGTGCACATGCCAGCTCTTTTACATGGAGACTGAGATCTGCACTCAGGATCTCACTCTTCAACAGCAACAGTTTTAAGCCAGTGAGCATTTACTCAGCCTCATGTTTTTTGGTTTTTGAGGCAAGGTCATGTCAGCCTTGAATTAATAGCATCTTTTTTTCTGCCTCAGCCTCAAAAGTACAGGGAGTATATGGATGAGGCAAGCACACCCAGCTGACAGGCTTCTTATCCATAGAAAACAGAGTAACAAAATAATAATAATAAAACAAAACAAAAAACTCGGATCAACTTGAGTAGCTACTGATTGCTACGGCTTCCAGCCAACACCTGAGGGTGGACAAGATGGCTCACTGGGTAAAGGTTCTTGCCACCAAACCTAGCACCTGAGAGAGCAGACTTCCACAAGTTGTCCTCTGAGCTGCACACATGCTCTGTGTACACACATGCACACACTTAACAATGTGAAAAAGGAAATAAGGAGGTCTTTATCCCATTGGTTCGCTGAGGATATAGTGAGATGGAGCTTAACATGGGGTTGACACATAAACACTAAAAACAGTATTTTGAAGATGACGTAGAGGAGGCAAGCAGGGGGGAATCAGAATGAAAGGCGATGCTGACTTTAGTTCCTTAAGTCAGAGGGGACAAAGAGAGTGAGAGAGAGAGGAGAAAGCAGAAAAGAAAACAGGAAGAAGCACAGGTTGTTGTCCATGGAGCCGCTCTGCATGATAGCTGAGGCGTGGCCATGGGTTTCTATCCCAGGCCTATACAGCATGGACTCTAGTATGATCAAAACCCAGGAGAGAAAGAGCTGCTCCATCTGAGCCTCAGGCATCAAGAGAGAGGGAAGAGACTCCCAGGCCAACCGGGTAGTAACAGTGCCTGACCAGTGGAACTGAAGTTGTTTTTCAGGTCAGATGAGCAAAGCCATTATCATAGAGCAGCTGGGGCAGGTGCAGCACAAACCTACAGCCCAATATGGAAGCCCAGGAAGGTCACTCAAGCCTGGGTGATTGAGACCATCTTGGCCAACTCCACCTAACAAAGCAACCCACAGAAAGCCAGTCATCAGCAGGGTGTCCTCAACCAGGCCAAAGACTAACTGTAGATGGAAAAAACAACAGTTCCTCTCTTCTCTGCAGCTTCCAAACAGGGAGCACCTAAGAATGGCATTGCACACTGCAGGTCCAGAGACAAAAGGGATCATGAGATCAAAAGAACAAAGTTTGAGGTCGCAGAGTTAGAAGTAGAATGCACACAGTAGGATGCATATCAAGAGTGCAACAAGAACCTAGGTTCAATCCACAGCACTACAAATTAAATAAAGAAGGTTGAAGATGCTCATTCAGCAAGTACTCCCTGAGTTTTGACAGCCAGCACCCACATAAACAAGGTGCTGAGCTGCAAGCCTGGAATTCCAGCTCTGGGAATCAGAGACAAGAGGATATCTGGGCTTATTGATCAGTCAGTCTACCCAACTGGTTAGCTCCAGGTTCCGTTTTCATTCCTGTCTCAAAACTGAAGGAGAAAAGCTAGAGAAATGGCTTAGAGGTTAAGAGCACTGGCTGCTCTTCTATAGGTCCTGAGTTCAATTCTTAGCAACAACATGGTGGCTCACAACCATCTGTAATGAGATCTGGTGTCCTCTTTTGGTGTGCAGGTGTACATGCAGGCAAAATACCGTATATATAATAAATAAATCTCTATAGCTCTGGCTGTCCTGTAACTTATAGGTCTGGCCTCAAACTCACAGAGACCCGCCTGCCTCTGCCTCCAAAGTGTTGAGACTAAAGGCATGTGCCACCATCACCCAGAATAAATGAATCTTAAAAAAAAAAAAAACTTAAGGAGAAAATGCCTTGATACCACCCATAATCTTTCAGTCCTATGGCAGATGGACAGACCACTGAAATGAGGCTGTCTGCTTGAAGGATGGGTGTGAAAATGAGGCAGAAGTCACATTTTGGCTTTGAAGACAAGACCAAATTCGCACAGAAACGGCAGGCTCTGTCTGACAGGATGTAGCTCACAATGCCTGCAGCAGCAGCTTTCCAAGCTCTCCAGCAAGGCAGGCAAATACTGTGCAGATGAGAGCTCAGACCATCATAGCCAGCTGGAGCGTTTCAGAGCAATGAGAATCCCCACATGTCAAGATCCCACAAATACTCTAAAAAGGATGGCTTCACACCCCTATTCTCTCTCTGTCTCTCTGACACACACACACAGAGAGAGAGAGAGAGAGAGAGAGAGAGAGAGAGAGAGAGAGAGAGAGAGAGAGAGAGAAATTTTTGGCCTTCTCTTATTTACAGGATTTCCCAAAATCCCAAGTGGTACTGGGAAGTCAGGGTAAGACTAACACTCCTGGGGTTGAAGAGATGGTTCAGCAGTTAAAAGCACTGGTTGCTCTTCCAGGGGACCTGGGGTTCAATTCCCAGCTCACAACTGCCTATAATTCTAGTTCCAGAGGATCTGCCACCCTCACACAGATATACATGCAGGCAAAACATCAGTGCCATAAAAACAAACAAACAAAAGACTAACACTCCACCTCAATTTTCCCACATATCCAATTAAATCATGACAAAACATGGTCTCTTTCTCAAAATACCTTATTGCTCTGAACTTACCGTATCTTGTTGCTGTACTATACACTTCACTGATAGGTGACTGAATGACACGGGGCTGTGACTAGACATCAGGCACCTATTTATGAGCTGCTGAATGCGGCACTGCAGTATTGTACTTGATACCTGAAATATCAGCTAAAGGGTATTACAGGAGAGAGTCAACAGGTGGTACTAGCTACAGTGCGACCATGCTGACAAAGGTCAGCAAGGGAAGGAGGAACAGAATGTACAATTTCAAACCTAAGAACCAAAGCCAAGTGTGGTTTCTAAAAGAACCTAATTACACTTTTAGTTTTTTAAAGAAAAGGGCACCTTGTTGTGTGGCTCAGGTTAACTTGGAATTCCTGGGCTCACTGAATCCCAATTTCAGGGCTCTAAGTGGCTTGACTATGGTCTGTGTGTGATTCATGCTAGTATTCTTTACCGAGTGGGTCCAAGAGAAGAGAGAATAAAGCTCATAGCTGTGCTTTGGGAAAAGTGCAATGAGAATAAATGAAGGGGCTGGTGATAGAGTTTAGGAGCAGAGTGGCTTACGGACAGGGTCCATGGGTCACTCCCAAGGGGGAAAAAGGGGGCTATACATGCCACTTTAACTGAAACTCACTCAAACTTTGAATGGAGGAGTAGTTGAGATTAACAGGACTTCCAGGTACTGAGCTGGGGTGACCTATGAAGGGCACCATATGATTCTGTGGGAGACCCCTTAGTAGTCAGGTTTCTGTGACAGCAAAGGAAAGCACTTCACAAGTGTTTCAGTTATTACTCTCAAAGCCAAGAGCTAAAAGAGAGCAAGCAACTGCAGGCATGATGGCACAGGCTGAGTGGATGAAATACAGGATACACTGACACCCAAGGAAAAAAGGGAGGGAGGGAGGGAGGTGGTGGGATTAGCTGCTCTGAACAAGAAAGAAAAGTTTTAGAAGCAGCCAGGTCCTGGCAGTCTCCAGCCTGCACCTACACTAAAGCCTGGCCCTTGGCAGGATCACCTCACTCACTACTGCCCTGGCCTCTCCAATCCACTGCTGGCCACATGCATTCCTTGTTATTGGCCTGAATCTCGGAGTGGGTTCACTGGCTCGCACCATTCAAATGTCACTCTCATCCAAATAAGAGACGCCTGCAAGCCCACTGTCCCAACGGGTCGACATCAACTCTATACTTCCTGTGGTCCAGTTCACAGCTCTCATACTATCAGGTTTACTGACTGCTAGTCTCACTAAAGAAAAAGCTTACATAGGTAGTCACTGTTTCAGTTAGCTAATACCCAGAGTCCAAAACAGGCTTGACACTCCATGTCAAGGGGAACAAGAAGCTCCTTGATGAATAAAAGAAAACGCAAAACAAAAGAACAAAAATAAAAATAAAAAAAACAAAAAACTTCACTAACACAATAATCACTATCTTGGTCTAGTATGGGAACTGGTGATCATTAAACTGAAGGGGTTAGAGAGATGGCTCAGTAGTTAACAGCACACAATGCTCTGCACAGAACCCAAGTTCTCTTCCCAATACCTCCACTAGGCAGCTCACATTCGACTCTGACTCTAACTCTAGCTCCAGAGGACTCAAGGCTTCTGACCTCGGTGGGCACAACATTTATATGCATATACTCACACACATAATTAATAATTAAATCTTTAAGATATTCACAAATTTAATTTGAGCCCAATTAAATTTTCTTTTCTTTCTTTCTTTCTTTCTTTCTTTCTTTCTTTCTTTCTTTCATATTTTTGAGACAGGGTTTCTTTGTGAAACAGCCTTGGTTGTCCTGGAACTCACTATTGTAGACCAGGCTGACCTTGAGCTCACAGAGATCGCCTGCCTCTGCCTCCCCAGTGCTGGGATTAAAGGTGTGCGCCACCCCTGCCGGGCTCCAGGTTTTGTTTCCTTCCTTCATCATCAGAGTCTTCTATGTAGCCCTGGATGTTCTGCAGCACTCAGATTTGTGTACCTGTCTCCTAAGTGCTGGGATTAGAGGTTCCACCACCACACCCAGTGCATTTTATTTTTAAAATTAATTTTATGATTTGTGTGTGTGTGTGTGTATGTATGTATGTATGAGTACAGGCACATGTTGAAGTCAGAAGACAACGTTTGGGAGTCAGTTCTCACCTTCTAACGTGGGTTCTAAGGATCGAATTCAAGTTATTAGGCTTGTGCTGCAAAAGCCTTTAACCAGTCTTCTAGCCAGACCTACTTTTTTTCTTTGAGGCAGTCTTGCTACTGTAGCCCAGGCTAGCCTTGTGTTGATCATCCTCCTGCCTCTATGGTGAGTGCTTACATTCTAAGCATGAGCAACTATACCTGGAATCTCAGTACCTGATTGCTGGGAATTCTGAGGCCATTCTATGGTACATAGTAAGACCCAGCCCCCATAAACAAAAACAAAACCTCACGGGGTGATCTTTGCTAAACCACCTCACCTCACTGTATTGTTTCACTCTGGAAAAAAAGGAAGTTAGCTGTCAGTGAGAATTAGAAGTGTACAGCCTGGGAAACGGATTCTGAGCCCCTCCTGAAGGCAATTTCCTTAGTCTGACTTAGTCAGACTGCGGATCATCACATTTAAAGACCCGAGATGACCTAAGGAGCTCCTTCAACCAGAACGGAGATAGGTGAACGGCAGAAAGGAGGCAGAGGTGGGAAAGGGAAGGTTTCTATGAGAAGAAACATGTCTACAGCCACGGAGTATATTGAGGAGAGGAATGACAGCTACCTCTTCCAATTCTGTGAAGCACCAAGTTGTCACAAGACAAGCTGGAGTGAGTGGGGACTCCTTCAAAGACAGAGCACTACGTGTCGGGAGAAGGCGGCACCTACGACGGGACCGACCTCCAGACCCCGGTGGAGCAACTGACTCCGCGATCTACATCCTTTGCTTCCTCACAGGACAGGTCTCAGCTTCCCCAGTAGCCTTGGCACAAAGGACAGACTGGAGACCCAGGCAGCTGAGGGACCAGGAACGAGCTTCCAGGCTGACGCTCTGGGCAACGATCCCACTGCCATCCAAACGAGATCCCCGACGCGGGAACCCCGTCCTGGCCAAGGCACAACTTCCCCCGGTCCCCGCCGAGAGGGCGTGGCGGAGTCGTGTCTGTCAGCACAGGTGAGGGCGAGGCCTCCGGTGGCCCTAAACCCGGTGGAGGCGGAGAGGGCGCCCCCGCGCCCCCGGCCCGCCCGCCGGCCCGCACGCTCACCGCCTTCTCCAAGTGGCTGCGCGCCTGCTCGCTATTCTTCGTGTGGTGGTAAAGCACCGAACCGAGCTGCAGGTGCGTACGGGCCTCGATCCGCTGAGGCGGCTTGAACGGAAACACGGCCTGCAGGCAGTGAACGCACAGGCGGATCTTGGGCGGGCTGGACGTGCGGAAATGCTCGGCGAACCCCAGGAGAGCCAAATACCACGACTCGGCTGCCTCGGCCTGCGCTGCTTGAGCCGCGGCCACCTGCGCGGCCGCCGCCGCCTGCGCCGCCGCCGCAGCCTGTGCCGCCATCTTGGCCTGCACAACAACAAGCCGCCTCCACAGAGAGGCGGAAGCATCTCGAGGGGCGGGGCCTGGCTCTCCTCGCGATTCTCGCGAGAACTTCTGCGCAAGGTATTCTGGGATTTACAGTGTCTATTCGCAGTGGCTGCGACTGAGGGAGAGTCTGAGGAGAGGACGACGCCTCTGCATCCTCGCGACCGAGAGTGACACACCTTCTTGAATCGACGCCGGAGTTTTTGTGGAGAAGATTCTTGGTGTCCTAGAAGGGGTTGGACGTGTCGACGGAAGAAGACTACATTTCCCATCAGACCAAGCGCACTATAACTGAGTCTCCCTCCTCTCAGGTGGCGCCGGAGCATTGTGGGATTGGATGAGTCTCAAGATGGACAACCGGGATGTTGCAGGTAACAGCCCCCGCCTTCTCTCCGGCCCCCGCCTGGGTTCCCGCGGCTGCACGTTCCCCTCTTCACCCCCTTTTCTGTCACAGACCTGACACGCGGACTCTGCCTCAGCCCCTCGGCCACCTGCGGTAACGGCGTGTGCACCCCTTTCGTCGCCCGAGACCCCAGACTCGGCTTGCTGGCCGCTCACCCGGGGCTGAGGAGAATCCCGTGTCTTCCCCAGAGGCCTAGGCACCGGGTGGCCCCGCGCGGGCCTTCCCAATGCCTGCTCTCGGGCCGGTGCCATCCAGAGCGGCCAGCCGAGGACAGCCTTGCTGCCCCTTCAGGTGGCAGCTTCGCTTTGTGGAAAAAGAAAAATCTGTGTTTCAGAATTGCAGCGGGGCAGCCAGGGAGGGCACGGTCTCGCACGCTATGGAAGCCCACTTGGCCACGGGGCTAGCATCCCTATGCCTCTAGGACAGGATGCAGTGGCCCTTCCCCGTCTGCTCCCACAAGTCCTGTATGCCAAGCGCCGGGGAGCAGGTTTCACAAAGAACCTATTCTGGTGACGAAGTCTGGCTTGGATGCTGCTAATACACTGGAGGCCAGGGAAGGCTCTAAGTTTTATTTATTTACTTATTTATATTTATTTATGTCTTGCGTGAGAGTACGCGTGTGGGTTCCCACGGAGACTAGAGAGGATTTCGGATCCCCCGAAACCTGGAGTTGGCATCTCAACTTGAGGCTCCTACAGAAGCAGCCTGCACTCTTAACCACTGAGCCATCTCTCCCAAGTCCATGAAAGGCCTCTCTTGAGCACAAGTGTTTGAAATGTTATCTATGGGACGGCAGAGGTTTCCCCTCAGAGGAGTTGGATAGGCCTTGGAGTGGACTGGGATTGCCGTAAAGAAATGGAGATAACCAGGGAAGCCAGCTGTGATAGTGCCTGGGAGTTAGCTTTGCTTTCAACATTTGCAACTGAAGGGCTGTCGAGACATCTCAGTAGTTAAAGTGCTAGCTCCGGGTTATGAGGACCAAGCTTCCCATCTCCAGCACTCGTGTAAAATCTAGATGGAACTACAGCACTGTGGGCTCCTGGGGCTTGGCGGCAGAGTCCTCGCTGAAACAGAGAGCTCAAGGTTCTGTGATCTCCTCTGTCCCAAAATATTAGGCAGAGACAGAAGCAGTGGTGTACACCTTTAATCCCAAAATCTGAAGAGGCAGGTGGACCTCGGAATTGAGGACCAGCCAGGTCTATACAAGAAAGAGGCAGGCAGATCTCTGTGAGTTCGAGGCCAGCCTGGTCTACCAGAGGTAGATCCAGGACCGCTAGGACTGTAACACAGAGAAACCCTGTCGAAAAGCCAAGAAAGTGTTGTTGTTCTTGCAGAGGACCTAAGTCTGATTCCTGGCACACATGTGTTGACTCGCAATCTTTCATAATTAGGTACCAGGCTGGCCTTGAACTCAAAATAATTTTTTAAATTAGGAAAATAGAATTTCCCTGGAAACGTTTGGACTGCAATGCTATTTTTGTTTTTGTTTTGAGACAAGATCTCGTAACATAGCTGTGGCTGGCCTTGAACTCACATAGATGTGTCTGCTTCTACCTCCCCAGTAGATATAAAGGGGTATATCTTTATATCTGGGATATAAAGGCTGTGCTACCGGTTCAATGAAGCAGTCTCACTAAGCCCCTGCTTGTCTGGAAAGCATGCACCTCCTGACTTTGGATGGCTGCGGTATAGTACCACATTTGGTACTGTCATCTTTGCTTGAACCCAGCAATTTGTCTTGGTCATCTTTCTTTCTGTGCACTTTCTGTATGTCAGAATAATCATCCTGTCCCCAAGGTCATTAAAACCAGGGCTGGAAGCAGTTAAGAGCACTGACTGTTTTTCCAGAGGTCTTGAATTCAATTCCCAGCAACCATCTGTAAAGAGATCTGGTGCCCTCTTCTGGCATACAGGCACATATGCAGGCAGAACTCTATACATAATAAATAAATTATTGAAAAAAAAGCACTGCCGGGCAGTGGTGGTGCACGCCTTTAATCCCAGCACATGGGAGGCAGAGGCAGGCGGATCTCTGTGAGTTCGAGGCCAGCCTAGTCTACAAGAACTAGTTCCAGGAAGCTACAAAGAAACACTGTTTATAAAAACTAAAAAAAAAAAAAAAAAAAAAGCAAAGTTGGCTGATGAGGTAACCCACACTTGTAATCAAAACACTAAAGCTGTGACCCTTTAATATAGTTTTCATATTTTGGTGCCTACCCACCATAAAATTATTTTATTGTTACTTCATAACTGTAATTTTGCTACTGTTATGAATCAGAATGCAAATACCTGATATGCGACCCCTGTAAAAAGTGTTATTTGACCCCCAAAAGGCTTGCGATCCACAGGTTGAGAACCACTGTTTTTTGCTTGTTTGGTTGGTTGGTTTTGGTTTTTCCGAGACAGTTTTCTCTGTGTAGCTTTGAAGCCTATCCTGGCATTCACTCTGTAGACCAGGCTGGCCTTGAAATCACAGAGATAGAGGAGAATTTAGAGATGTTTATCACTTAAGAGTATGATTTGCAGGGAACAAAATGGAATATTCATACTCCATCCCAAAAGGTTGAATTGAACCACTCTGTCACTAAACAGCTACAGGTTTGAAGCCTGACCCCAGACCATTGCTTTTGAGGTACAGATAGGAAGTTCAACATTATTCTTGGCTGTACAGTGAGTTTGAGATAAATCTGAACTATATGAGAACTAAATAAATTCAAATAAACTACCTGTGGAGGGCTGAAGAAATGGATCACTGGATAAAGTCCTTACTATACAAGCATGAGGACCTGAACTTGATGTCCAGAATTCATGGCTGCCTTATAACACAGTTTGTAATCCTTATGCTCCTATTACCAGAAGAGATAGGAGGCAAAGCCAAGATGTTTCCTGGAAGCTTACAAAGGACCTAGCCTGAAATGCACAGCTTTGAGCATCAAGAGCCTATGTCTTGGGCTAGAGAGATGGCTCAGAGGTTAAGAGCACTGCCTGTTCTTTCAGAGGTCCTGAGTTTAATTCCCAGCAGCCACATGGTGGCTGACAACCATCTATAATGAGATCTAATGCCTTCTCTTGTGTGCAGGCATGAATGCACATAGAACAATGTATACATAATAAATCTTTAAAAAAAAAAAAAGAACCTATGTCTCAATGTGGAAGATAGGGTATCAGGTGTAGCACGAATAATAAAAACCCAGAGACAGATATTAGCATTCAACCTGAAGATCAGAAAAGTAAACAGCCAAACCACTAGAGAAATTTTACCTCTACGGGGGGGAGGGGGGGGGGGAGCACAGGCTAAACCTCTCTCTTATATTTACTCTAGTACTGGGATTAAAGGCATGAGCCTATACTGCCTGGATTTGTTTTCAGCAATGAGCTTGTGTAACCCAGGGTGGCCTTGAACTCACAGAGATCCATCTGTACCTTTCCCAGATCCTGAGATTAAAGGTGTGTGCCACCACTGCCTGACCTCTAGTGGCTTAGCTTTGCCCTCCTGATCTTTAGCCAGTCTTTACTTATTAAAACATAAATAAAATATCACTATATTTCCCATTTTTTATCTAAAATAAAAAAGGAGGCTATAACTAATATAGAAAAACTATGCGATAAGTACAATATATATATAGGCAATAAAAACATCAAACTGTCCAGTTCATTTGCTTTTGACAAATTCAGAGGAAATACTTGATATCTGTCCTATCTTAGTGAATCCAGTCTTGTATTTATTTTCTATCATAACTTGCTTTCTGCGAGACCAAAGAAGGAAATAATAATAACTTAGTAAGCAGGAAGTGCAAACAAGTGACTTCCAAAAAATGTGAGAAATGACAGAAATAGCTGGCTGCTTGGACAGTCACCCAAAGTTCCTATGCAATGTTGGGGCATCCATCTTACGCCTATAAGCCTAGCATATCTGACAGACTTTTCTGTGAAGCAGGATATTCTAAGGTCTGTCCCTCCTTGTCTTGACAGTGTTTGGCAAGTCACTTTGTTTTGTGTCCTGCTCATACTGCCAGCAGTCGAGGCAAGGGCGTTTTCTTGCCCACTGGCTTTCTTTGGCCACAAAGAAAGTAAAACTCTGGTTTTTTTTTTTTTTTTTTTTTTTTTTTTTTTAGTTTTTCAAGACAGGGTTTCTCTGTAGCTTTGGAGCCTGTCCTGGAACTAGCTCTTGTAGACCAGGGTGGCCTCGAACTCCCAGAGATCCGCCTGCCTCTGCCTCCCGAGTGCTGGGATTAAAGGCGTGAGCCACCACTGCCCTGCAAAACTCTGTTTTTTTGATGCCCATTATCTTCTCTGAAGTAGATTGTTGCTGCCAGACACGCCTCATTGTCCTAAGAAGGAGCCAGTGTTATTAAAGCATCTGAAATGTAGATCTGTTTGAAGATGATTTGTTTTTCTAAAATCTCTGTTTGAGCCGGGCGGTGGTGGAGACCAGCCTGGTCTACAAGAGCTAGTCCCAGGACAGGCTCCAAAACCACAGAGAAACCTTGTCTCGAAAAACCAAAAAAAAAAAAAAAAAAAATCTCTGTTTGACCTTGAAAGCATACCTAATTACTGCAAGTTCAATTATAATAGATGACTAATTACTAGCCTGTATTTCTTTATTATCCTAAACAGTTGGTAATGATAACTTTCAAGGACTAGAAATTTGCATTACATTGTTAAATGTGTTATATAGTAAAAATGCATATGCAGTATGTCTTAACAAAA